TAAGCGTTCAAAAGGCTTAATGAGTATGTGACATCATATTACATGGTTTCACTCGCCTGCTTCAAAAAATACACTGTAGATACATTGTGCGGCTGTTGTTTGTAGCGCGTTTCTAACCGACAGAGGTGTAATCAAAAATGTGGACTCGCTTTCGAAAGTTTAGCAAAGAGATTTTTACCGTAGAATGAGTGATGTATCGTACGGCAAGCAGTATTCTCCTTTCATGTAAAGAATCTGGTAACCTTCTCTAGTTATGCCTGCACTTCTTTCACGCTAACATCGCTTTGTTTGAGAGCCTCATATGGCTGCACGATGCTATAATTGTGTTCTCCACCACCAAAGATGCTGTTCGTAAAACATTGCTACTCACGAAGTAGGATTGAACAAGATGATCTCGTTTTGGACATCGAAATTGTTTTTGCAGGGAGTAGAGAGAATTAGCAAGCAGATTAACGCCATAGTATTGGTCTCCTTCGGAGCAAGAAAAATGCTCCAATTTCTCTAAAAGCAAATTAATGTTGGTAGTTTTGGGTAAAAATCATGCTAAAGGTACCTTCGATTTCCCATATGACAAAATTAGCGATTGGATAATGCTCTTCCCGACTTATTCAAGAGATTGCGGGTTCGATTCTTCATTGAGATATACATGGCTTACAATGACACAAGACTATGCTTGGCTATACCTACACTATTTCGATTGCTGCTTATATCTGTGAGTAATTTGTAACTATCTCCAATATGGTGGGACTTCCCACCCTTCCATTCGTTTCTACTTTTGTAAGCTATTTTCACTCGTTGCCTTCACTAGAGATTCTCGGTATTGTCCAATGAGGTTTCGACATAATGGTAGCTAATCGAAGCGTCTCTGAGTTTTCGAATGTTGCCTTTGAAGAGCTATCATTCTTACCACTCTCCGCTCGTATGACGATAGCTCTTGTCTACTGTTCGCACCCGTCGATCTCAAGTCGTCGCCTCTAAGTGACCCTAGCTTTTACCCGATACTCTTTATTAGACATTGAACTCGTTTAGATGCGACGGGTTGT